CTCTTTCCCAGTTCACAAACGGTAGTTTATAAGAACTCAGTGCAGCATCCTCAATCTGCATTTACACGAAATCATAAGTAAATATTTAGCAAATCAAGTCGATCCCAAGGTGCCTAATGCTCAAACTTCTCAAACTACTGGAAGATGCTACGCAAAGTCTCATCACTCCTATAAGCAAAGATAACTAATTTTAAAGTGAGCCTCAGTTTTGAACTTACAGGTAAAACAATGAATCCCCATAAAGGCAACAAAACAGTCACAGCCCTAAATACCAATGCTAAAATTATATGAGAGTACTAGCTAAACTTGAAAATACTGTTACCTCTGCACGATCCTTGTCAGCTGTCGCCGCAAGTTTCTCCAGTTCTTGCTGAAGACCCATTAAAGTTTCGCGCTTCGTTGACGACTTCCATTCTTCGGAGCTCTAAACAAAATAAATGATAAACAAATGCTGCAAAATATGTTACCTAATCATTCAGGTAAAAACCTAAGAAAGTATACTGCTAACAACAGTCACTCAAAATCCACTAAGTCTATGCAGCATCTTAAGTTTTTTTTGGTATAAAAAGAATAATGAATGAAAAAGTAGAAAAAAGTAACAAACTCAAACTGATAAGAATGCTCTGGAGGTTTTGTTCGCCATGCTAAACCTTGGTCAACCCAACAACAAGTCATCAACTTTTTCTTCCTCACTACACAATAGATATATTGCATAGATCACTTTTTGTGTCGGGCCACTTAACCGAATGCGACAAACTAAACTAGTTTTGGTTGTTCCCGTCAGCGGTAAACTGGAGGAAAATACTACAAGAAGCAATGGACAAAAAGAATATCATCAAAAAAGTGCAAAAATCTTGAACAAAGCCACCTCTTTCCTGCATATTCAACATTTGAGCCGGTGAGTAATTCAGTAATTTATATGCTTTAACCATGTCTAAACTTAAATCAACTTTTGTTTGTAGCAAATTTACCAATCACTACAATAACCACATCAGCTGCATTACTTAGACAGTGATTTTAGGTATCATGTTCTGCGGTAGCACGAGGACGGAAGTGAGAGGAAAATGCAGAATTGCAACGCTCCTTCTTTGCGCTAACCACGTTTTGCCCGTTTTACTGGCAAGCCAAAGTAGCTGCATAATGCGATGATACAAAAATACTGCTTGGTAATCTGGTTTTTAAGTTTTAGGACAGTTCAAACTCGTCCCTACACATCTTTTGTGGCTATCATTCTCATTGCTTTTCTGAGCTACCACCAAAGATTTGCAGTCAGTAACACTCTGTCATTTATGTGCGTGAAAATTT